TTATTATTATTTTTTTTTTTTGGGGTTCAAAACCAACCAGAAAACTCAGTAAAACTGCCTCCAAGTCACCCGCTCCCAGTTAAAGAGACCGGATTGCCAAATTTCATACCAGTTTCTATCTTTCTGGTTTTTAAGCTAAAAAACTGGACCGGTTATCAATTCCTAGTAGAACGAACCGTTCCATTCCGGTTTTCAAAACACTGAGATAAACAACACAAACACTGAGAGAGAACATCAGAGAATGGACACACGCACGCACATATTCATGAAGTTGATTAGAATGTATGTATGTGAAAAAGGAGGGGCAGTGGAAGGTTGAGAAAGGATTTTTGGCTTAGCAAAACAGAAAAACACCACCACGGAAGCTTACCTGTTCAAGTGTATGCTGAGCAAGGTCAGTTGTAGATATCATCACTCCAGCAGCAAAGGAACCCAATTCTAGGCTCAGGCCCAACTTATCACTACACTGATATGAGACAATGATTCAAGTTTAACACACACACACCCCAATAAGCTTATGCAGGAAAGTGTATGCTTGCAATGTCGATTAGGCCTAAAATTGAGAAAGAAATTAGGAAATAAGACCGACCCAAGCAACAATCAAGCAGAAAGCCACAGATGCCAATTGATAAAGTTCATTTGTCTGCAAGATTTCAGAGAAACAAAGTCAAATATAAGAAACAAAGTGCATAAACCTCATTAGATCAGACAAAAAATCACCTGTGAGGAAAGTCTAATCATCAACTTAAAGAAGAAAGGTATAAAAGTGCGGGATAGTATGGAAAGAACAGCCAAAAATGCAATTAATATCACCAACCTGAAAACAAACAGGAGCAAAATAGATTGTAAAATAGATCTTTGACCTGGAAGTGCAGCGTTATAAGCATAAACAGGAAGCAAAATATGCTGTCTTAAATCCCTAGGCCAGAAGTTCAGTAATTAGTTCATAGATCTGAAAGATTAATAATAACTTAGTTAACTTTTCAATATCCATTTATGTACCAACACTTCAGCACAAACAGTATCCAGTAACATAAAGCCCTAGCCTGTCCAACAAATTCAGAAAATGGAATTTGGGTAAACCAAGAAATATACAATAGTCCAATTCAATGTCCTCAAGCAAGATTGTGTGAAATTGAGGATAATGATGGTTATAAGGAGCATTTATACTCCACAAGAATGGGCAGAGCCAAGTTAAAGGTGGTAGGATGAATTGACCCCACTAACTTTCAAGAAAGCATGCATTTGCTTAGATGAGATACGATCTTTTAGTCATTATCACAAAATGACCCACTGAGCTTACAAGAAATGAATGCATGTATAAGACAAAGTTTATGAATTCATGTGAATAGCAATATGAAAACTGAAAAATTTTCAAAATTTATTAGTTTCTCTAATGAATATGACTAAGCAGCTTCTAATTTAGATATTTTTAGTCTTTAAAACATCATCTATAACTTCATAGTGAATAGTGGAAATCACAAATCATTATTTATCTATCATTTCATTATTGTTATCAGGATGTAGAAATAAAAGATATTAACTCTTTAAGAGCTTTCTCTTGTTACAACTTATGACAAACCACAGAATATCAGATTAATCAAAGAAAAAAGAACATGATAGACATCCAGCAATTTTACATGGCTCGGTTCAATGAAGCTCACATTCATGCAAAGAGATGGTGACTTCACTATGAACATTATTACAGAAGACCTTTCTAAGACTCGCATCAAGGCTTGTCCGACACAATGAATGGAAAAATGCCTCTAGGCAATAGGAGAAGCATTTGTTCCTTGACGCATATGCCTTCAGTGGTCAACCTTTGCTTCGAGAACTCTGAATAGAGGCAACAGGTTAGCCTAGGTTGGGTAGCCTTTGCAGGCCCTCCACCTACGACCTAGAGACCGGAACGGAGACACATTTTTTGCCAGGTCACGCCAGGCAGACCTGATGTTCTCTTGGACCAAATAGTTTTTCTTTTCTTTTTTTTCCTTCTTAGTTAACATTCTTAAAAAATAAAAACAAAAGAATTTAATAAAGAACCATGCTGAAAACAATTGAGGTGTTCACCTTAGAACACACACAGAAACTAGGATTACTCGGAGACGACACTGGTCAGTAGGTTCAAAATACATAAGGGAGTAAGAAAAAGAAAAATAAAACAAAAGTCCATAAACCACTTGCTTTCTTTTTTTGTACTTTTTGTGTTTCCATTTATCCATTGTTTCATACTGGGATAATAGTGGGTTTCAATTGCTTAACTTATAGTTTTGGGCTTTGGGCACTAGTTCATATATCGAAACAAAATTTATTTCTCTTGATATATTTTTTTTCTTTTCTATTTACTTCAATTTCTATACACACAAGTTAAATTTAAATATGTAGAAATCCATACTGCCTGAGGGATTTTTCATTACCTTCTGCCTCTAAAAGTACTATCACTAGAAAGGATACTAATAGGATTTTTCACATTGTCTGCAGCTGACTTCATCTATTACAATGAGAAAATTGCTCATAAAATGACCTCAACTACAACCTCATTATATAGCTAACAGATTAGATCAATATGCACTAAAAATGTGAGAAATTACACCGGATCAAGCTTCTTTATAATAGTGTGGAAGGTTGTCCACTGCCATCTACCTTCCAGTAGGTTCTCGAAACTCTTTCCTCAATTTCTGCAGGCCAGCAAGACGGTGAAACCAAAGCAATGCTAGCCAAGAGAGAAAAGTCCTTCTATCTTATTAGTTCTAAACAAACTTTTTTAAAACTCTAGTGCTAACAAGCAGGGGTACTCTGATGCTCGGACTTTTCGAAATAGTCGGGGTAACACATGGTATGGGTATGGGTATGGGTATGGG